GGATCCAGCAAAATTGATTTTTTTTAACTTGGAAGGGGGGGGTTTTAACTCCAAACCCTCCCCTCCCCCTCCCCCCAGGATCCGCTAGTGGGTAGGAGACACAATAGATATCATCTTTATTTATTGATAAGCATAAAATATATATCATATTGATGCTATACTTTATTGCAGACATTTTCCGAGAAAGAGATCCGGATCAAACTAATACAGCTACGTTCACGATGGAAGAATGGATAGAAAAAACACTTTATTCATAATAAAATATAAATATATATGCGATTTGCGATAATACTTCATCTTAAATTTACAAATTTCTCTGATACTAATATAATGATAACAATCGTAATAAGTATTTTTTTATGAAAAAAAAAGAAAGTATTTTTAGATACATTTGGAAGATAATGTGCATATGTTTAAATCTATTAATTTTCTTCTCTTCAATCATTGTTTTTGAGTAAGGAAACATTAACATTTAAATGTCTGCAGCCCATGTTCAAATAAAGCCATCTTTATCTCCTTAACTGAAACATTCGTTTGATAGGCAAACATTTTACAAATATTTATCACTATGAACAAATACATATCTTATAATGATTTTACAATTTTTATTTTTATTTGTACAGTTTTCATGATAATAATTCTTAATACTTAATTTTTTAACTGGGAAAACAATTAAATGCGTTAAGAATGAAAGTAGACGAAAAATGTCACAGAATAAATTAGATTTTAGAATTATTTTATTTATGAAAGAAATAGAATTCCCATTTTTAAGTCAGGTGTTCCTAGCAATGCAGCTAAAAAGGACATTCCAGTCAAATGATTTACATGAATAAGAGTGTTTCATCTAAAGGAGAGAAAAACATTTTTCTTACTTTCGATAATATTATCTTTATACATTTTTTTATATTGTACTATATAGCAACAAGACTAGAAAATTCGATTAATGTAAAAAAATTTGTTTCCACTTAAAACATACCTTATATAATATTCAGGACGTTATTCAGATCATTTTGATAACTTATTGTATACGCAGACGATATCATGTGCCTTATTATATTTTAATTAATTTCAACACTGTTATATTACGAAAATGTATTATTAAAATATATGTAATGTATTGAAATATATACAAGGTGTCCGATTTTAAATAATGCACCTAAATATTTCGAAAATGAGATACTTTTAGAAAAGTAGTCGAGCAGATGAGAGTTATGCAGTTACAGAGAGACATAAAATTACCTTAATTTTATTTTAAATTTTTCCAAGGCTAGATCAAAGTCAATTTGAATTTTTTTCCAAATGGCACTGTATTTTTGGCATTTTTTAAATTTATTCTTTTCTGAACTCACAATTAATAAATCACAATTTTAGTTAAAATTAACTTAAGTTTGATAATTTATCTATATTTAAATATTAGTCTTTTAAAACATAAAACAAAAAAAGACAGATAATTACAATTAACTTTAATTAATGTGTAGCAAAATTCGAACATTTGTTGACTATATTTACAAAATTTTATTTTAAATATAGATTATATGTTCAAAATTTTCTCCAAACATTGATAATTTGCATCAAATAGATTAATGCAAAATGTGCAAAAAATTGCATTTAAAATATAAAATTTAAAATAAAAAACAGAATTCAAATGTAGAAAACAAATACAAATATATTTACACCGAAATAAAAGATATATGCACATACACACATAGATGTCTTATTTAAAAAAATTATATATATATATGGTGTCCCATTTTAAATGACGACCTTAAATATCTTTTGAACAATGCATTTTATAGAAAAATGTTTCATATAAAAGTTGGAGGATTCAAAGGAAGCCAATAGATAATCTTATTAGATTTTGAGTCCAGGGTTTGTATTGGGCCCAATAGGACCTAAGTCCATTTTTCACTGCAGATTTGGATTCTATAGCTCAAAATAAAACAATTTTGTTCTTGGTCATTTTTTGCTAAACTCTCTCCAACAGGCCCAAAACGTTGTTCGAAGTTATTATTATGTGCCAGAGCTAGACTTTGGTGCTTATATTTAATGTTTACAACAATATATATATTACAATAATATATAATAATATACTATATAAGACAAACGTTTCGGCCTTTGGTTTAGGCTATCCTCAGTATAATCTTTAACATTTAATACTTGCATAGACAAATTAATTTTAAAATAAAAACGCTAAGTTAGATGCAAACTATAATCATGCTTGTACAATTCTATGGTTGAGGTAGTAATCATTGTTTATCTGATAGTAGTGCTCAATAAAACGTAAGGATTTAAAATTTTTTTTCCGGAGACATTAACGAACATGTTATTCAACAAATCCATCAATCTCATTGCCTAATCGACCGTGTTGGAAATGAAAATCTTTTTTTTCAACATACGGTCGATCAGACAATGAGATTAATGGATTTGTTGAATAACATGCTCGTTAATGTTTCTGGAAAAAAAAATTTTTTAATCTTCACGTTTATTGAGCACTGCTGTACTTATCAGATAAACAATGATTACTACTTCAACGATAGAATTATACAAGCATGATGTAGTTTGCGTCTAACTTAGCGTTTTTATTTTAAAATTAATCTGCCCATGCGAGCATTAAATATTAAAGATTACACTAAGGATGGCCTCAACCAAAGGCCGAACGTTTGTTATATAGTATATGTATATTATTGTAAACATTAAATATGAACACCAAGGTCTAGCTCTTATTGTTAGCTCTTATATATTTAAATTATTTGTTTAATTAAAAGAGCCCTCTTCCTTCTAATTTTATTATCATTATCATTATCATTATCATTATCATTATCATTATCATTATCATTATCATTATCATTATCATTATCATTATCATTATCATTATCATTATCATTATCATTATCATTATCATTATCATTATCATTATCATTATCATTATCATTATCATTATCATTATCATTATCATTATCATTATCATTATTATTATTATTATTATTATTATTATTATTATTATTATTATCATTATCATTATGTAATTCATTACAAAACGTCGATTTTTGGGCATACAATCCCAAAACTGATGGGTTCTAAAAAAAATTATGTACTTTAAGGTTTGGAGATGGCGATCTGATGGTTAGATTGAATGCTGAGTCTAAGTCCCAAGTTAAGCCCAATAAGGATTGACTCGCGTTATGATTCTGCTAATAATTAGGAACCAAAATCAAATCAATCTATCAAAAACACAAACTGTTTGAATTGAAGACGTTAAACCTGGATCAGTGATAAGAAATTAGTAGGCTTTATCTAAAAAATCGACCTGGGCCTTGGGACCCCGGACCCAAAATCTAATAAGATCATCTATTAGCCCTCTTTTGATCCCTCCAACTTTTATATGAAACATTTTTCTTTAAAATGCATTGTTCAAGAGATATTCGAGGTCGTCATTTAAATGGGACATTGTATAAAATTAGTCATTTTTGTCATGACTTTGAACACATTGAAATGGAAAAAGAAGTGTATCATGACATTATTTATACGCTATTTATATATAAAAATAAACGGTGAATTGCTACTTGAAATATATGATAGAAGTGAAGTTAGGATGGTCATGTAATATCCATACATCATTCATTTCACTGTCTCTTTTATGCCAGTCAATTTTGCACTTATATCCCACAGGCGGAGCGCTGTTTCAGAATCCAAATCTTTTTTCGAGACGTAAAGTTTACAATCACGATACAGATGTCCACTTTCTTCGGATAATAAAGATTCTGTTGCACAATGCAATACTGTTTGCGCACCCTATAAGTATAGATAGGTAATAAAACAAACTTGAAAGACGATATATTAGAATATATATATATTATGCACAATATTGGAAAAATTATTTAATAAAAATTTTTAACTCTTAGAGATGCAAAATATTATAACGTCTCGAAATCAATATAATATTTTAAAACAAGCTATTGTACAATTGTATATTAGGCTGTTTGAAAAGTTTCTCTAATTTTATTTTTATAGAAAAAAAAAATTTGAAAATTTTCCAAACAGTTCAATAAATTGCTTCTTAATTTTCATGACTACAAAAATATCTGTGCTTTCTAAAGATTAAAAATGATAGGTTTATAATTGATATACTTACCTGATTAGCAGTGCGTAGAAACATAAGCGCAACAGGTGAGAAAATAATATAATGAAACCAACTTCTCTTTACATTTCTGAATAGACCAGTGTAAGTAAATCCTGGACATACCATATAGACGTTAACACCAGTATTTTCTATTCGTTTTGCAAGCTCAGCAGCAAAGTATGCATTTGCGAGTTTTGAATTACAATAGCCGGGATTCATTCTACTCTTCACCGGCAATCCCCTCTCACCGTTTAAGTTTTCAAAATCTATTATTCCAGATTCCAGAAGCTTGGACGTCACTACTACTATTCTATATTTTATTTACACAAAAATTTGCATATTAATATCGTTTTATTATTCTAAAATATTACTTTAAGCTTACCTGCTGGGAGCGCTTTGCTTTAGGCGATCCAAAAGTAAATTGGTAAGCAGAAAGTGGCCCAAGTGATTTACTCCAAAATGAATCTCAAAACCATCTTTTGTCAATGCGCGATCTTTGAGTGGTGCATACACACCTGCATTATTAATCAATACATGAATTTTGGGAAAATTTCTTAACACTGCATTGGCAAACTCTCTGATTGACGAGAATGATGCAAGATCTAATTCCATTGGAATCTGCACAATTAAAAATAGATAATTTGAAAAAGATGAGGGGAAAGAGGGGGGGAGGGGTTGTTCTTTATATATATATACATGTATGTAATGTTTATGTAATATGTAGAGTGTCTACAATTTAGATAGCAAAACTTTTAGAAATATATTATATACAAAATTGTTACCATTTTTTGTTCACAATAAAATTTTATAAGCATTTATTTTATTAAAAACATTGTAAGATCAATTTTTTTCTATAAAACAATATGCCTTTTATCAATGTTGCATGGACTGTCAACAATGTTTTTATAAAGAAAGGATACATTTTTAAAATATTTTTATAATAATTTTTAAATATTTTTATAAGTAAATTCAGTGGAAGTATCAAATTGTAAATATAAAAATGTAGAAAATTCAAATTAGAATAATGTGTATAGGCCACGCAATTGGTTCTTTTTTGTCAATTCATTGATATAATTACTGTTAAATTTTATTGCAAACAAAAAGTAGTTGTAATTTAGAAAAAACACATTTCTAAATGTTTTTTATTCTTATAATGTAGAGCAGAATATGCACCTAAAATTTGTCTGTCTGTATATTTAAAAAAATATTTTTTTATATATTAAATTAATACAAAACAAATAACATAAAAATTAAGTTTCACAACTCAACTCAATCATTTAATCTATAAAAGATTGCAAAGTTTCTTTTTTAAATCATGAAAATCATGCTTCATAGAAAATAATGTATTGGTTTGTTTGAATAATTTTCTAGTTTTTCTTCTATAAAAATAAAATTTAAAAAACTAGAAAGTATTTTTGAATAACTCATATATGTTTAATATATAACTTAATTGAAAATATTATAAGTTTGAAACGTTACAACGTCTTGCGGCTCTCTAAATATTAAAAAGAGAATTAGTCTAAATTATCTTAACAAAGTTAATATTGTTTAATTTTTTACCAATTCGCCAGTCGGTATTTTACTACGTATCTCAGCTATTACATTCTTAGCACTCTGTACATCTCTGCAGGCCATAATGACTGTGGCTTTTCGTTTAATAAGTTCCTTCACAGTCTCCTTACCGATACCAGAATTAGCGCCTGTTACAAGAAATACCTGGCCTTGCAGATTACTGGTACTCTTGCATCTACCCCAAGTGCGCTCACGACATTTGCGAAGCAAGCCAATGATCAACACCATTGGTAAAATAAAGTAACACCACGAGGATACCATGTTGACGTCCGGCTTTGACTTTATAACATGAGGTAATCGTGATAATTATTCTGGATGAAGCGCGTAGATAACAATGACTAGCCTTAGATATGACTGCTATTACATATTAAGCATGATTATGTGGTCGCTCGAATAATTTGAATCGATAAAGCAATCTTTCGTGCTTCTCTTGTTTCAGCTAATATATAGTGCGTAATAACAGCATGATTATAACAGCCAAAACCATAGTACAAAGAAAATTAGATAGAGTGGAAAGTTCCATACAGTCCCATAAAAGCGCTATGCACTTTTGCGTTACATCAGTGAACTCTATGGGCGGTATTCATAGTCTGTTCTTATATTCAAAATCGTCTTAAGCACGCAAGATCTATAGAGAGAAGGTTACCTCATGCGCAAAGAGGGACGAGGTACAAGCATTGAGTAAAAAGAAACAGGAGGGAGCGTTTGGTCTTAAAAGTGCGGACGGAAGTGACTATATAAAGTGGTCGCTCAAGATGGCTGCTCAAGGGCGCCAATATTGAATGACTTGTTATGTTTAATTAAGAAATAATGTACAATTAAAAGAAAATAACTATAATATGCAACAATAATACCAAATTTTAATGGCGTTTTTCATTGAGATTGCACTCGTGCAGTATTTCCATAAGAGCAATGTTAAAATCTAAAATCTAAATTTATATTAAATCCTTCGTCCTTACAAAAATTTATCCATGCATTTCTTTGATCCGGATTTTCGGAAACCTGTTTGTGAGTGAAAATTATTTAGTAATTATTGTGAATCTACAATTTCAC